GATGTAGTGTGATAATGTTCAAAAATCCATTCATACATGTGAATTATTTGCTAAAAAACACCTGCATTCAATCCTGAACATAAGTGCCAAATAGTGGTCAAGGAAGGAAAAATTCTAGAAACTGAATTCACTTTCCACTGACAATAACTTAAATGTAGACTGCTCAATAACTTGAATTGCTCAAAATATTACATGTTAGACATGTATGTGTTTACAGTCTCCAAACTCTCTTGTAATTGACGATGATTGTACAGCAGTCTCACTTTAAATTTGCCAAATGAGGTGATTTCTTGTGAAAAAACTGAAATCAGCAAATTGTCAAATTAAAAGCTTAATTCAGAGAGAATAAAAGAATGGAGATGGCAGACCTACATTGTCTGTATCATTGGGTAAAAATATAGCAAGTTTGTAGGAGATGGTCCCTAGAAGAGAGTTGAATGACTGTATGCTAAAATTAAATTAGATTAATAAAGTGGTGGCCCAGTGCAATTTTTCTGGGTCTCCCCACTATTTCTATGACTTGGTCTACCAACCCTTCTTTTCACTGACTGCCTCTTTTGCTCATTCGTCATGGTAGACTTATACCTCTGGTCTAGTACATGGAAAAAGTTGGTAACTTCTTCCATCCTCCAGGTAAGGGGCCTTGTCACCACTGATGTGGGATCTTCTTCATCAGACACATCTGAGGAGATAAGACTAGGATGCAGGGCCTCAAAAATTGGTTCTCTCTTCTCTTCTTCAGTTGCCACTTTGAGTCTCTTATCCAGTTTCTAAAAGGGAAAATGTGAAAGAAGTTTTACAATACTGAATGGTGAGCAACTCCTACAATAAAACATTTATAAAGCCCTTGAATGAACCTCAGTGTCACTGGTTTGAGTTGTTCTTGGCATAAAAAGTTTTTTATCACCAGATCTACAGTAACTTGAACCTTAACCAGTTTTTAGATCAAACTTAAATTCAAACCTTCTGAAATTTATTCAAACATACAAGCTGATAAGATATTTGAGTGTTAAAGAGCCAAACAACTTTTTTACCCTTTTAATTCTCTGGCGCTACTTTTGCTCCTTCTGATACTGCTCGTAGGTACCATTTTCTTCCTGTCGTCTTCCTTTCTTTGACGATGCAAAGTTTTGAGAAATAGCATCTGAAAGGAAAGGTAGGTATGCCAAGATCAGTTATATAAAAAATTTAA